TATTACAAGAAAACGGCCCGCCCGATCTTTACCAAAAACTAATCAGGTAGATTCCCAACCAATATCTTTCGAACGGTTTTTGAATTTTCAAAATCGATTCAGAATTGCGGGCTAAGACGTGGACAATTTTTTTTTCACTTTTCTGCGATTTATAAAGAAACGGCTTGGCTAATCGTCGCGCTAAATTGATAAACGCTAGTCCTCATCGAAATACATCGAATGGTTTTTAAATTTTTGAAATCTTGGGTCCAGCTAAATGAGATAAAAAAGTATAGTACGTATAAGATACTTTTCTCTACCTGTTACCTGCCAATGACAATCCTGTTAAAATCGGTCCAGCCGTTCTGGACATTAGGCCAAACAAAGAGACACACAAAAATTGAAAGAATGTTAAATTACTACCTATACCCTATTTATTTCCATTTGCAAGTATTTGATGGATGGATATTTCAATATTACAAACAAACTTTATTTATATGTATAGATTTATTTGAAGAGAACTTTCGGTTCTGAAGACTGGCTACTTCTACCTTTGTCATTTACTTGTCACATGTGATTTAACCATATTATCTTTAAATTTATTAGATGTCGACTAAAGACAGTTGTATATTATATGGTAAAATAAAAAAAAATAATTTTGTTCATGTCTATAATAAAGTATAATTTTTTTTTTATCAGTGCACAGTCCGTGGTGCCCGTCGTTGGAATCGTATGACCCGTTGCGAGAAGCTGACTTACATCAATCAAGCCCTTAGACAAAGGAAAAAGCTTGACCAAAAACGGCGATGTGAAAGTGCAAGACCCTACAGATCCCGGACTAGATCCAAGTCTAAAACCAAAAAAAGGTCGAGATCACGCAGATCCAAATCAAGGGCCAAGAGCGAATGCACTTGTACTAAAAAAAGACGCCAATGAAAAAGGGACAAGCTTAGAAAAGGTTAATACTGAAAGATTCGCAAGGATTTTCTTTCTTTCAAGCCAGGAAACAAGTGGAATTTACAATGTCTACTTAAATTTAACAAATGCCGAAATCCAAATCATCCAGAGGAAAATTTGAATGCATGATAAAAAATTTATCAATCCATCAGAGTTACTAACAGAGCAACAGGTCAACAAAATTATAGATTTTTTTAACTAACCTCAAACCCATTGAAATACAAATGCCCATATTTTTATCTAATTATTTCCTCCCATATTTTTATCTAATTATCCCCAAAGAAAATGTGATTTTATTAGAAAAATTATTAAATTAAAATTTTAAATTAATTAAATTTATTAAGATATTTTATCTAATTATCTCCTCCCATATTTTTATCTAATTATCCCCAAAGAAAATGTGATTTTATTAGAAAAATATTGTCCTTATTTTTATATTATTCAGAAAATGTACAAAAGTTCAAAATCCAATTTTGAATTGTTTTTTACAAATTTTATTTTAGAGTATTTTTTGGATAAACAATGTTTTACAGTATTTTTGATTTGTATTTGTTTTATTATGATATAAATGCATTTTGGCACATTAGTGTTTTCTTTCATTTAATTTTTATAAAAATAGTAGAACTTTCCGCAAAGCAAGTTATAGCAATTGCAAGAAAAATAATAATGCAAATTTTTATATATTTTTACGTTTCAGAGGTTTCTACTATTTTGGCAAACATTAGAAAATTGCTGAAAATTCCCGTCCCAAAAATTATTTTGTTTAAAAAGGATTAATTTGTTTTTTAAACATTGGAAAACTTAGATTTTTGAGAAATTTTTAATTTGTGAAAATATTTAATAAGTCGCCGTCTTACAGACAAACGATGTTACGGAACCCAAGGCAATGTACAAAAAATTGATATACATTAAAATCTCCATAAAATATTAATAATTTTGTGGCGATATCAAGCAGGCTGGTTTTGATTTGTAAAAAACAATGGGACATGTCATGTATATTTTTGATATCAAAATATTTTTACAGTTAATAAATTTATATTTTTTTATTATGTTGGGAGTTTCTAATTAAATATATTATCATAATCATTACTACTCCCACATTGGTGACTCACGACGATGGAGATGAAGATAAAGGAGTTTTATTTTTCGAAGATTTAAGAAAAATTGATTTTGACGCAGCACCATATCACTGGTCTTCAGAGACGGCCTTTAAGGTACGTCCAGTCCAATCCATCATAGTTAACGCACTTACTATCTGGATCAGACTTCCGAGGTTACTCATTTGGTATACCCAGACCCAGTGCTGGATTTACAGTAGGGGCAATCGGGGCTACTGCCCAGGGCGGCAAATTTTTGGGGGCGGCAAAATTTGGATAGTAAATAGATAAAAAATTCTATACAATATAATCAATTTTTTTAACAACATTTTTGTATTTCAAGAAATATAATTATTATTATATTTATAATAATTTATAGTAATTAACAAAACATAATACGATTGCAATGCAAAATTTGGGTTGAAATAACCGATTATTAAAATTTATTATTTTGCCTTGCCTCCCTCTCCGAACGTAAATTATCAAATTGGTTCACTAGTTATTAAATTTGGCAATTTGGCTAAAATAAAGATCCGTAAACAAGCTGAAAGTTTAAGAAAAAAATTTACTTCAGTTCTCGAGCCCTCTTAAAATGACGAACTTGTGCACTTCCAAGCTTATAGCGTCGAAAAAAAATTTAACTAGTGACTCATGGCCTTGTGCTTTAAGACAAATTATTGAAACATCCCGTACTAATAATTACATTTTATAAAGAGCTTTTCAATTTTTTGAAAAATGAAAAAAATTGACTTTTAAAACACATTTTTTGTACTTTGAAATTTTTTGAAAATTATGAACTTTTTGCAAAGCGTAGCTGTTTCAGAGAAGAAATATCGAAACTCAATTACCATTTTTCGTAATTGCCTTTGCCAAAAACTAATCAGCACGTCTCCCCATCAATACAAATCTAATATTTTTTAATTATTTAAGTCGATTCCGGGAACACGGATCAACCGATTTGAATGATACAATTCCTATTGATAAGGAGACGCGTTGATTAGTTATTGGCCAAGACAGGTCCAACTGTTTTGAAGATATGGGCCAAAATGCCAAAAATGATAATTCAGATTTTGAGAAAAGAAGCGTCCTATATCATTCAAAATAAATTACAGAATAAATAACTGCTTAAATTTGTGGGAGGCAGGTTTAGCGGTTTCGATAATCCAATAAAAGCATTTGTAAAAGAAATATTTGGTGGACAAAAGTGATCACAAGACATATGCACATCAAATTATCAGATATTTTAAAAATATGTTAATAAGTATAAATTTTGTTTACATTTATATGCGTTCTGTAACATTGTTTATCCGTTAGACTGCGACGCGGCGCTTACACGCTTCTATATTTTGTCCCTACGCAGCTGAAGCAGCGCGATTGCTTTAAAAAAAAGTTCGAAAGTTCGTAAAATTTCAGGGATGGGGCGGCATTTTTGTCAGTGCCCCGGGGCGCCAAATTTCTAAATCCGGCCCTGCCCAGACCTCAGTGTTTATTGCTGACAGAAAAAATAATTTGGAGCCTGAACTTTTCATTGGAATGCAATTCAACCTCTCTTTCTCTGTTAACTCAACAAATCGTCTTATAATGCTACCTCCCATTATCGGTGACAACGACGAATCAAAACAAAATTTGACATAATTTATTGGATTCCACAATTCTGGACTCTTATGTCAACCAATGATCCTGATTTGGATAAAGAGCCAACTTCTTTCTCTGATCGGAACTCATCAGATACGAAGCAACGCTTGCAGAAATGGAAACTGTACCCAAAATATTGCATTCTAAACATTAAGTTATTCTGATATAACTAATACCCATTAGATCGAGAACATTATGCAGAATATGGAGTTGATGGCAGGTTTAATCACCACATACGGTGGATCTGCTGACGAAACATGGAAATTTGTAATTGACCAGTATTACAACACTGGTCTGCTATAATCTGCTTTCCCACCACATTTTTATAACGTGTTTCCCTGTATTTTTTTTTAAACTGTGAGATCAACACTGGGCAGGGAGTGTGTGGCGATATCAAGCAGGCTGGTTTTGATTTGTAAAAAACAATGGGACATGTCATGTATATTTTTGATATCAAAATATTTTTACAGTTAATAAATTTATATTTTTTTATTATGTTGGGAGTTTCTAATTAAATATATTATCATAATCATTACTACTCCCACAATTTGATGTGTATATGTCGCTGTCTAATGATCATTTTTGACTGCCAAACGGCATTTTTTTTTACTTTTTTTCACTAGATCTCCAAAACCACTAGACCTGCCTTCCCAAAAATTTAATCAATTCTTCATCTTGTCAAAACAAGTAAAATATTTTTTGAATAATTAAAATCGGACGCTCCGTTCTCTTAAAAACTAAGTTACTGTTTTTGGCACTTTTTGCCCCGTATTTTCGGAACGGATAGACCTACCTTTGCCAAGAACTAATCAGCACGTGTCCTTATCAATACGAATAGAATGTTTTTTGAATTATTCAAATCGGTTTGTCGAAATCGCCGGCGGTATTATTTTTCTAAGGTATGCCAAAATGTTCAGAAACCTTTAGAGATATTTAAAAAATGTCATTTTCGATTTTGTTTAATTAAAAAAAATTGAAAAACATTCGATTTCTATTGATGAGGAGACATGCTGATTTGTTTTTGGCAAAGCAGGTCCAGCCGTTTCGAAAATATTGAACAGAAAATACAAAAAATTGCAATTCAGTTTTGGAGAATGGAGTGCCTGATTTGAATCATTCAAAAAAAATATCAGAAAAATATCGATTATTTCTATAAATAAAATTCTACTATTCAAAATTTTATTCTGTAGTAATATTATAGGTCTCATCTATAAAATGTACAGTTTTGATTCATTCACTTTCCCTACTTCCAAAAATCATCTTCAAAAGTCAAACGATCCTCAACTCAATATAGTACATTTACCTTATTTCAAATAAATAAATAAAACTTACCAAGATTACCCCCAAACTCCACAAATCACAGCTCTCCGAATACCCCTTGATCTTCTCCGAATGCTTCTGATGTTGATGTTTCTTGCCATTTGTATTACCAGTATTGTGATTCCTAATCGAGACGTCCAGAACTTCTGGTGCTGCGTATTCCAAAGTAAAACATGGTGTCAGCATTCCATCTTGGCAATCCTGAGGCGATTCCAAATCCTGGGATTCGAACCGATATTGCTGGTGATGCTGAGGTGTTCCTGGTGAGTTTCCGAATTTTCTTAAAGGAACGGCTTGAAGGGGACTGTTCGTTTTCATGGTGGCTGATGATGGTGTTGTAGATTTGTTGAAAGCTAAAAAAAGATGTAATAGAATTAAATCACACATTAATTTAAAAGTTAATAATTTTTGAAGTAAAACTTTTTTAGGCGCGACTAGAGTGTAAATCCGTACAAATGCAACGAAAATGCGTTACGCCCGAACTGTACGTCAATCGCTCTCGATGAAATCTTTTCAATACGGGTCGATTGTCATTAGTCATCGTGTATGTGAATAGAGATCTGCCGTTGTATGCGTGCCGGCATCAACAAGGAAATCGGCATAGATAAAAAAACATTTTAAAGTTACATCGTAGTACAAATCTTGATTTAATGAAACATGCCTGAATCAGAAGAATATTAATATACCCTGTTCCTTGAACATAATAAAACAAATTAAACATTTGGGCCGTGTCCTAAACGTAAGTTTATTGATTAGAAATGATTTCTATATTATTCGTAGTTTCTATAAATCTTTGAAGATATTAAAATGAAAAATATTTATTAGGCAAGACAGATAATAACAGCTGTTCAAAGAATGAGATTATATCGCCAGCGAAAAAGTAAAAAAAAATACAAGCAGTCAATGAATGTATGCTAATTTTAATTACATGACGTTCTTCAAACACAATTACATGATAAGTGAAGTTGACAACAATAATTCTCTAGCCGTTATTTTACATAATCTACTGTGTGAACGAATATTATAGAATTTATTAATCAGCAATTACTTCATTTCTCTAATGAAGGTTCATTTCTAAATGCTTATTGCAATGACAAACCGATCATGTTATATTTGAAGTATGACTTTAATTACATTATTGCTTTTAATTATTATACATATTTTTAATGTTATTATAAATATATAATTTATAATTTATCATTATATAAATGTGTATAATGGTCGACACTGATAAATGTGTGCAACATGAGTGTTACCATATTACTAATAAACATTATTCAAAATTGTTATATGATGTATTTATTTTTACTTGAATACAATCTTGTACAGTAGCAAATAAGTTTTATTTCAATCGCGTGTGAACCTTACGCGCACTCTTTTTTTATTATTCTCTTTTTTTATATTATAGCCGATTGGCATATAATAAATAAATAAATAAATAAATAAATTATTCCACTTACCTTTTGAGTATTTATATATGGCGTTGTTATTCACAAACGGTAACTGTTGTTTTGAATTGTACTTTCTTGCAAATCCAAAATCTATGATCTTAACTATTTCATCTTTGGTAGATTGGAAAATAATATTCTGAAAATAACAAAAAACAAATGATTAATATAAAAAAATATAATACGTATTATTAACTTCCCGTAAGCCAAGTTATAGTAATCGCAAAAATCTAATAGTAATTTCTCAAAAATCTAATTTTTTCGAAGTAATTTTTTTCCAAAAATGTTAATCGTTTTTAAAAAAATAATAATTTTTGATACAGAAAGTTCCAGCAATTTGCCTTAAGACACAATGCCATTCACCACTAGTTTTTTTATGCAATTACTTACTTCTGGTTTCAGATCTCGATGTGCAATCCCTTTGCGATGAATGTAATTCACTGCTGAAACTAATTGTTTGAAAATCTGACTCGCTTGTCTTTCAGTGAACTTTTTTTGATACCTAATTCTGTCCAAAAGTTCACCACCGGTTAAATTCTCTAAGACTATGTATGTATTCACCTGTAAAAATAATAAACACATTAAATAATAACTGTTATTACAATTTCCATATTTTATAAATAAATTAACAATTTCAATCAATTATCATTTCCTCACCTCGTCTTTCAACACTTCGATAAGTTTAACAATATTGGGATGTCCCTGGCACAGCTTCAACATGTTGATTTCATTGGTGCAGTCAGTGGTATTTTTGACAATCTTGACAGCATGAATTTGACTGCTGGTCCTATGTCTGCATTCGACACAAATGCTGAATGATCCATCCCCAATTATTCGAGGCATCAGTTCATATTTATCATAAAATGCTGAGTCCTAAAAAAAAGATAAAAACACATTAGGTAACAGAGATGGTAAGAGCTATAAGGACACAAAGATCAATATCGAATTTCAATAATTATGCTCAACCAACTGGTGATGACTAGTTACACATCTTTTGCCCTGTACTTTAAAATAGTACCACTAAAATAAATTTATACTTTGCATATTCTTGAGATGGTGAACCTTTTTACATACGGACCCAACTGGTTTACATCACCAACTGGTGATGACTAGTTACACATCTTTTGCCCTGTACTTTAAAATAGTACCACTAAAATAAATTTATACTTTGCATATTCTTGAGATGGTGAACCTTTTTACATACGGACCCAACTGGCTTACATCACCAACTGGTGATGACTAGTTACACATCTTTTTCCCTGTACTTTAAAATAGTACCACTAAAATAAATTTATACTTTGCATATTCTTGAGATGGTGGACCTTTTTACATACGAACCTATAAGCCTGGCTCTTAACATGAGATTTAATTTTTTTTTCTTACCCAAACTTTATATTTCATCAGTCTTTCAATGTCTGGACGCACATCATTGTGATTTTGATTCAGTCTCTTATAAATATCATCATCGGAAATAACATTTTTCGTCAGCAGAATACTTGGTGATACATAAGAATATCCTGAAACAATTAATAATAATAAAATATAAAAACTTTATTAATTTAAATTATTTTTTTACTACCTTTGAACAGTCTTTCAGTATTTTGAGGTACAACGGCTGGTGAGTCAGTAGGAAGCATTTTGGTAAATTCTTCGCTGAAATTACTGGTGTCCAATTCGTCCCTAATGTTGGGCTTGAATGGTGCTGGTATACGTTTATTTGCCAGATCGTTCCAGTTGATTTTCTGAAAAATACATGAATTGATGGAACAAAATAGATAAGACATATGAGTATAAGGGAAATCTGTACGGATCAAGTATAAGGACTTTATATAGTATACAACTATAAAAATACAAATGCATTTTAAACAAAAAGTCACATTATCAAAATTGAACATTCTTGCACGTAAGTATATAAATATTAATCCAAATTTAATTATTTCTGCAATTTTAACTGGTAATTTTAAAATCATGATAGCAACATATCATTATCAACATACTTCATATAAAAATAATACAGACATTATGATAATTGTAGTTAACAATATACTAAAAAAAAACTAAAACGATTTAAAATTTGTTACATAACCACACAAGTTTTTTTTTTTTGTTACATAACCACAATTTTTTTTTTTGTGTCATTAAGTCATTCAAAAATATATGTTATTAATTATGATTTCTAAATTTCTAAACTAAAAACCTCCTTTTTTTCTACAAAAAATTCTAAACTTAATTTTTCAATTATTTTTTAAATGTATTTTCAGAACTAATTTTTATATTTTTGTATGCTTCAATATTTGTTGAGTATTTACCATTTGGAAAAAAATAGTTATCAAGGTAAAAAGTGAAATATTTCAATTTTAAAATAATTAAATAAGTGCATACTTCTATAATAAATTAAATATAATAATTGAAAAATTGAATAAATATTTTTTTGATTTTTTTACAATATCTGTTATAACTGCTAAATAATATAACATCTAGTAACATAAGGATAGTAATTTTTTTTTAAGATAAAGGAGAAAGATTTCAGTTCAGAATAAGAGAAATCATAATCATATATCATCAGAGCTGAATATTTTTTATTCAATTAAAATTATTAAATGAATGAATATACTCATATGTATTGAAAATATTGCATTTGCTTTTAGCTGACTTAATAATATACAACTAAATCTAAATATTACTAAATCTAAATATTTTTTTCTTCAGCCTCCTGAGTATATTTTAAAACTTTTTAGGATTTTTAAACAAACTAATATCTTTAAAATCAATAAAAAATATACTATATTAAATTATGATGTTTCTCTTTACTAAGAAATAAATGGTATATCATACATCTCAAAAATATTATCAGGGTTCAATTTTCATTTAATGTTTGGCAAATTCAATTTGTTGTATATTATTAATATGTTGCAACTGCATAAGTGTTTTTAACATAATAAATTATATTAAAATTTATTTAAGCATAGTTACAAATTAATCTAGCACTTTTATTCTCACTGTTAATATATTTCATAACAGAGATTAACGGAAGTGCAAAATGAATATTATTTATTTTAAGAAAAAATATTAAGCACTCTAATGTTTCTAAAAAAAAATTGACCTTCCCTCAGGTAATAAAAGGACAAATAATAATATAAAAAAATATGAACTAAATATTAAATTTCTTTGATAAAAATTAACAACAAAAATATTATAAAGTAAAACAAGTTATACAAAATTCAAAATGTTCAAAGATAACAACAATGGAAATGTATAGAAAATATAAAAATTGAATATATATATATATATATATATATATATAGAAAATTTACCACAAAAATTAATTGGAGGAAGTACTATAAAAGTACGATGTACTAAAAAAGCGATCATGTTTGTACAAATAAGTAATTATTTTGAAATTAAATTAAATGTAATTAGGAAATAAAAGCATTTAAATCATGACTGATATATAATTTATATAAAAATGATGTCCTCTTATATAAGAAAAATAAATACTTTTTGCAAAAAAATTTCAGATTTGTCACAAACTTAGAAAAATTTTCTTGGAAATAAACTCAGATGCATTTATAATTTTTTAGTTATCAAGGGGTAGAAAATATTTTTTAAATTTTTATTACTCAAATGACTATTACAAAATAAGGGGTTACTATGACAATATTGTGGTAAGAAGGTGAAGAACTAGGGCTGTATGTATTTTTCAATTCCGCATTAAATGAAATTAAAATACAAAAATATGTGTGTGTGTTAATTAATATATTTAGATTATAAAAAATAAATCATTTCCAACTTACTTTGAAAAAACTATGAGATTTGACTTCAGAAGCGTCTGCTTTGCCCCCACCAAGTCTTTTGCGTGGATCTTTGACAAGCAAACGACTTATAAAATCTCGAACATCTTTTCCCAAATCATCAGGAATTGGTGGCGAGGTTTTCAAAATCCTAAAAAATAATAAAAATGAAACTTCTTATATTTATCTACATTTGGTAAATCAACTTAATAATAGAACATGTCACACTGATGATGAGACATATCAAAGTCTATCATTTAAAACAAAGTGTTGCTGTATGTTCATATTCATATATTTAATGAACAGTATGTTTGTTTTTTTATTTGATTTGCAATCAGAACTATTCTTATAACTATGAGCTGTTGTGATGCAATTTCTTGTAATCTATCATTAGTACCAGGCAACCCAATGGTTGTCCAGGAGGCTCTTTTTTATAACATTATCAATGTTAGATATATCTAATAGTAAAAGCTGTATTCATTTAAAAACATAATTAAACCCATATTTTTAATCTAATAACACTTCAATACTGCTTGATATCAAACTGTATGATAAGGGAATATAATCTATGATTGCAAGACCAAAGCTCTTACCAAGAAGATACAGATAAGCTCAAATGGTATATAAAGTTTAAAAAATTTATTTAACATACTTTGATCTAAATTATCAATCTGATATCACTGATGCTTGATATCAAGCTGTAAGAGAATAGAATGGCTATGGTTGCAAGACCAAAGCTCTTACCAAGAAGCTACAGATAAGCTCAAATGGTATATAAAGTTTAAAAAAATTATTTGACATACTTTAATCTATATTATCAATCTGATATCGTTGATGCTTGATATCAAGCTGTAAGGAAATAGATTGGTTATGGTTGCAAGACCAAAGCTCTTGCCACCATGCCAGATAAGCTCAAATAGTATAGAAAGTTTATAAAATTTATTTAAAATCAGGCTTATATCTATATTATCAATCTGATATCACTGATGCTTGATATCGAACCCTTAAATCAAAAATTGGAATATCCAGTTTACTTTCTATTTATTACGCAAACTTTTATTCACACATTGCTTACGGTATCCAATTTTGGGGTTTCTCTAATGAACTAATTAAAGTTTTTAAACTTCAAAAGAGAGCAATTCGAATAATTTTTTCACTATCCTCCAAGACATCATGCCGTAATATCTTCAATGAACATAAAATTTTAACAGTACCGAGTATATTTGTTCTAGTCACACTTAATTTCATAAAAAATAATCCAGACTCTTTTAATTTGTCTTCGATGTCAAATACCAAGCACAATACGAGACATAAAATAATTAAAGGTAAGACTTATAAACTACACAGTTCCTTTAATACTATCTGCGGTATGGGTATACAATTTATGAATAAACTGCCGTTACGTGTTCGTACCCTTGATAACAAGAAATTTCATAAAGTACTAAGTAATGCGTTAAAGGATTTAACTTTTTATAGCCCTCTGGAGTTTTTAAATTTCGATTTTTCAAATTACTTTCCCGAAAATCTCAACTAATCATTAACGCGACTTTTCCCGCTCGAAGAAATTTCTCTATTACAGGCAGCAGCAAGATCGATGGATCGACGATGGCAAAAATCCCTACGAACCTACGGGCCCAAACTAACTGATGTCACCTACCAGCCATGTCTATGTCTACTATGCTCGTGACAATATAATTCGTTCGTTAAACTAAATACTTCTAAATTACTATTATTATTATTATTTCTTTCTTTGTTTATTTTTTCTTTTTATTTGTTTTATATAACTGTTATTGTTATATTGTTAAAATACTTAATAATTAGTTAATTAAACACTTACAATTTAAAAAACAAAAAATTTGAGAAACATTTTTTTTTTTTTTTTTTTTTTTTTTTTTTTTTTAATTATTTTTTTCATAAGTCTGTTATTTTTAAAATACTTAATAATTAGTTAACTAAAAACTTATAATTCAAAACACTTCAAAATTGTGAAACAAAATTTTAATTTTTTTATTTCGACTGTTATTGTTAAAATACTTAATAATTAGTTAACCAAAAACTTATATTTAAAAACACTTAAAAATTGTGAAACAAAATATTTCCTTTATCAAAATACCTAAAAATTTGTAAAAGAAAAAAAATTGTAAAAATATTTAACAATAATAATAAAAATGATAATGATAATATTAATAATAATAATAATTATAATAATATAAGATACTCAAATTTGTTAAAATATCATAAAATAACCTAAAATTTGTTAATATTGTAAAAGTATGTATTGTAAAGCTTATTAAAATTACTTATTAAATTTTTAAAAAACACTTATAACAAACAAACTAGTTATATTAAAAAAAAAAATTATAATTAAGTAAATATAAATAGGTTTATAGTAAATAAATTAAGTAATTAAATAGCTAATAATTAATTAAATTATATTAAACCTATAAAATATTGACTTAAGCCTTATTATAATATTAAATATTATACCGACGGCTTGTAAAATTAATAAATAATAAATAATAAATAAATATCAAGCTGTAAGGGAATAGAATGGTTATGATTGCAAGACCAAAGCTCTTATTAATAAGCTACAGATAAGCTCAAATGGTATATAAAGTATAAATATTTTATTTAAAACCAGGCTTATATCTATATTATCAAACTCATGTCAATACTGCTTGATATCAAGCTGTATGATAAGGGAATATAATCAATGATTGCAAGACCAAAGCCTTTACTAAGAAGCTACAGATAAGCTCAAATAGTATATAAAGTTTAAAAAATTTTTTTGAAATCAGACTTATATCTATATTATCAAACTGATGCCAATACTGCTTGATATCAAGCTGCCCGAGACGGAAAGAGGACTTGGAATCTGTGTTTGCAAGACTAAAGTTTTTACCAAGAAGCTACAGACAAGTCCATATTATTATTTTTTTATTTTTTTACCTTTTTGAAATATCATGTTGAGTATTCTTTTCTCCTTCAACAGTAAACGGCGATGCTCCTGTTAACAATTCGTAGGTTAGAACTCCAACTGACCACCAATCAACAGCCTAAAATAAAAGTTATAAAATATATAATATAAAAATATAATAATTCAAATTAATCATTTAGTTTACTGAAGATGAATCTTTGATCATTCCAATTAATATGGAGTTCTAGTAAATTTTTTTATAAATATTGTTACTTACCACATCGTGCCCTTGTGGGCCCCCTCTCACAACTTCTGGAGCCATATATTCGATTGTCCCACAAAAACTGAAGGCCCTTTTATCATTTTCATCAGGAAGAAATTCTTTGGACAGACCAAAATCTGTTAAGACGATGTGGCCGTCTTGGTCGAGTAAAATATTTTCGAGTTTTATGTCTCGATAGATTATTCCTAACTGAAAATCAGAAAAATAGATAAAATTAAATTTATATCATTATAAGTAATACATACTGATAATACATTATTATATTGTTTGTTGATATAAGGCATTAAAATGTGGATCAAATAAATATAAGCAAATTGAAGTACATTATGTTAAAATATCATACATTATATTAAAAATCAAATTGCATATATAAAATCTTGTGATTTATAATCTACGAATAATACTTGCAATTATATAAATTACATAAAAATCTCTTTAAAATAAAAATGTAACTGGTACATCTACATCTTTAGAGTGATATGTTAAAAACGTCTTTTGTATGAATTATATTATTTTGCATATTAAAAATGACTTTTTTGTACCAATTATATCGCCTTTTGTATTGAAAATTTATTATTATTTTTTAGTAATGAAGCAAAAAAAGCTTTTAATTATTAAAATAAATAATTTATTGTTATTTTTACCTTATGTAATTGTTCTAATGCCAATACTACTTCTCCTATATATATTCTCACTTCTGATTCTGTGAAATGTTCTCTTTGATATAAATGCGTAAACAGCTCACCACCGTTAACATAGTCTGAAATAAATTATAATTTATTAAAATTACATATATAAAATACATTTTTAAAGCATACCAGAAACGAAAAAAAATCTATTACTTTTGAAACATTATTATATGTAATTATAATAATTTGACAATCTTTGAAGATTTTTTCAATCTTTTTTTCATGGATCTTTTGGTTGCTAAGTCTTATATATTTACAAAATTTCATTTACTAAGAAATTTTGTGAAGCAAGTTTTTAAATTTGCAATAGATTACAATTCAAAAATGACCAAAATTTTATAAAGACTATTTTGTTATTTTAATGTTTTAATTTATTTCTTACCTAAAATTAAATGTAATTTGGCGTCCGTTTGGAAGGCGTAATGCATCCCGACTAGAAATGGACAACTCCTAATAGCTTCTAATACCTGTGAATAAAAAAAATAAATATAAATAAATATTATGTAACCATCATCTAATAAAATAAGCTTTTTGCAATTAAGAAAAAAATAATGTCAATGAATTTTGTAGAAATTTTTGGTCCAATTCTGATTGCTCAAATAATTTTGAATACATTATTACAAGTAGTATTTAATATCCTGAAAAAAAAACGTACAAAAACCAAGTATAGTCTGAAAAGCATTGCTAAAAAAGATTGATTTGCTTCTTTAATAAATATCAATATTAAAAATTTGTTAAATTAAATTTTTCGAGATATGATCAGCTTCAAAAGCAAATCATATTACTCTCCTATTAATATTTAAATACCAAAATTTTGTAGAAGTGAACAACATTTTTTGGTGAATATTTTTCTCAATTTGTGTAATTTAAGAGAATTGATTTATTATGGTTAAGATGTACTTTCTCCAAATCGACTTTGGTTTAGTATGAATTATTATTAAAAACTATAAATCTAACATGACGATTTTATGGATACTAAAAGCTGTTGTTATACTACATCAATTCTTCATTCATATTAAAAGATTAACATCAAAGAAACTGGTGAAAGGTTTATCAACTAGGAAAACGTTTAAGCAAATCTAACAATCAGCATTATTTATGTTGGAAGTAGATGATTTATCGATAAATAATAATAAACCGTTCACTATATTTGTTACAATAAACTAACCAATCTCTTTTGGTATAATATAATATTTAATCTTCAATACGAATTATACTTTTTTTTATTTTATATTATAATGAATAGTTTATTTTGAAAGTGG